GCAAGCGTGGCCGAGGCCGAAGACGCAGTACGGCGGTCGCGGTCAAGGTCGCTGATGGAATGACCTGCCGACGCCGATGCGATGAATGAGTGAATGAATGGGTATGAATCTGAATGTTACTCCTCCTGTATTATTAAACGCGATGGAGAGTACGCGCTACGTACCTTGCTGTGTCTCACTCACTCACGTCGTCGTCGTCTTTCCGGCCGATGGATATACAATACAGGAGTATATAATACGTACATGACGAGTGCGTAGTCTGCCGCGCCGGTACTCTACTCCGGGCAATTAATAGGGGGAGTTAGTAGTCGCCATTGGTGCACAGCGGCCAGCGGGAAGGCAGGCCGCGGCTGAGACCTGAGTTGGGTGCGGCCTTTAAGGCGGCGATTACTACACGCCCCCCGTACCGATCTGATCGACCCCGGCGAGCCCTCATTACACACCTGCCGCCTGCCGCCTGCCACCTGCCACTCTGCCAGTTCGTGCACAGGCGAGAAGCGCGCTGTTCATACGGAATCGGATACGGCTCTGCTGCTGGCCAGCTGCTTCTCTGCTCGGCGCTGTGAACTGCGGCCGCGTTTAGTTCGGGCCCAGATTTGGCGCCGCCCAAATTCGCGGCACTGTTGCGCACTGTAGCGTTTTGTTTTTATTTGGTAATAATTGTTCAATCGTTGACTAATTAGGCTCAAAACGTTCGTCTCGCAAAGTACAACTAAACTGTGCAATTAGTTTTTGATTTCGTCAACATTTAGTACTCCATACATGTACCGTAAGTTTGATGTGACGGGAATTTTTTTTTTGCATAGTGTCAAATTCTGGAATTTGGATGAACTAAACGTGGCCTGCGTCACCTTCCGTGGTAGCGTCGCGTGTGTTGGCTTTGCTTGCTGGACCGTTGGGCGTTTTCTACTATTGCAACCACTGCGTTTTTTCGGTTAACGAACGTTGCCACTTATCGCACACTGTTACGACGCACAGTTGTTTCACTGTCAGCCTAAAACGGTCGCCATATATGCGTACATGACGTCTGCTTTAGCAGGCCAGTTGGAGTCCTCATTCATCTGCGTTCAGTTCAATTCGGGCGTGTGAATAGGTGAATTGTGAAGCTGTTACCGCACTGTTTATTTAACTGTTGCTGTGAACCGCGGGCGCTCCGGTCAGGTGCATCCGTTCCGTGCATGACCTGCATGCGCACAACTCCCTACCCCCGTTGCACAGTAACAAGGTTAGGGTTTGGTGGCCAAGCAAAACAACGCCATTTCTTCTGATGTGGCACATTTGGACAGTGCACTCTGTTCCGCTACAACCTGGCCCAACGCACACTAAAAAGAACTCGGACTAGCCCAACAACAAGTCGAGGGCTGGTTGCAGCCAAGGCCCATCTGCTCCTCTTAAAAAGTCAAACCGGCGTGTTTGCTATGGACTTTGGAGCTTGGACTCCCCCTCGCGTCACGTGATTGCTTCGCGCGCTTGTGCTCGTACGTCCTACCAGACCAGGTCACGCCCGAGGCACGAGCGCGTTCGCGGACGCCGCAACAGGACCAGGGGAACCGGTTCGCGGGTCTCGGGCTAAAAATTAAAGCTTCCGTTTTGTACTGGACGTTTTAGGGACGGCGACCCTGGCCGGTCGGTAGCACAAGGCGTGTGTGAGGCCCTGTTTCGATCCCACCATTTTTTAAGATTCTAGTTTTTGAAAACAGGTGGAATCTAAATAGGCTAGTTTTTGTCTAGTTTCTTATGTCAGTTTTTGGCGATTCTTAGAAACGAAGAAGCTATTGATGCATAGCTTTTGCTAGTTTCTTATGACCTTGTGAGCAATAAATGAAGCAAAATTCTTAAAAACTGAAGGCCAAACACCCCCACCAATTTTTGCTCAGAATCTAGATTTAGAAACTAGAGACAAAACTTGGTTTTTAAGAATCTAAAACTAATCCAAACATGCCCTTACTTTACTTATCCGTTGATTAGCGCTGACCAACCCTACACGACGCAAGTTACGCTTTCTACAATTATTATATTCTTTATTCTGATCGGAGAAAAAATAAGTTTCCATTTTCCTACGTGGTGTAAAAGGGAATGCAATTTTGTCAGGATCGCGTTGCATGACAGCTGGTGCAAGGAACGCTCCTCCTGGACTAGTGGTTCTTCACCTGTTCCACCCCACGACGAGGAAAGGCCTAATTTGAAACGCCGAAAGCGACCCCATCTTCCCCCGTAGCAATCGTCCTCCCTTTTCCTCCTTCCCTTTCCTCAGTTGCAAGCGGCCAAACCCCAAACACCGACTCCGCGGTTCTGCGATCCTAAAGTCTCCAGACGCCCAGCCTCGATCGCGGCGACATACGCCAAGCCACAGCCCACAGCAAAGCTCGGCTACCCTCCGGCGCGGTGTGCGGCGATGGCGGTGGTGTCGGCGCTGGCCAAGTACAAGCTCGTGTTCCTGGGCGACCAGGCGGTGGGCAAGACGGCCATCATCACCCGCTTCATGTACGACAAGTTCGACGACACCTACCAGGTCGGTCCGCCCGCCCGCCGATCTTCGGCTCCCTCTTCTCCCTCGTCTCGTCGTGTGTTTTCAGCCAGGATCGTCGTTACTGAAACCTGCCGGCGAAATCTGATCTGATGATGATGATCCGTGCTGCTGCTATCTGCTCCCCCCGTGCGTGATGCAGGCGACGATCGGGATCGACTTCCTGTCCAAGACGATGTACCTCGAAGACCGCACTGTTCGCCTTCAGCTCTGGTATGCTCTGATGAATCCTCCTCAGCTCTGAACTGAACACGCGGATTTGCCGATGCTCTGACTTTCCCATGGAGTTCCTTATTAGTGCGTACTAGTAACGAGTAATGGATGCAGAGAAGATAAAGATCAAGAAGTCCAGTTTTTCCTTTCCTCGAATACGTTGAAAGCAATTGCGCGAATCGATTGTTTGAAATCCGGTTTTGACAGAGAGAATTTTATGAGCGTGAATTGTTAAAATGTGTAGGGACACAGCTGGGAAGGAGAGATTCCGCAGCCTGATCCCGTGCTACATCAGAGACTCCTCCGTGGCCGTCATCGTTTACGATGTCACCGGTAAGTTGACCGTCTCCAAAAACACTTCCCGCTAGCGTATACCGCGTACAGTATATCTTTGCTTTCTACGCTAGACAGGATACGCGGAAGCTTTTGCCCTTGATTTCTCGTAGAGCTGTAACAGGCCAAATCTGAAATTGTTCAAAGCGAATTTCTGAAAATCTTTCTCTTTTTTTTAAAAAAAATGTCGCCTTTTTTGTTGATAAAATTTGATAGCCACTGCTTTTCTGTTTACAAAAAATCAGTGCTTTGAATAATCTCCAGAAAGAAAATCCATACAGTGAGGCATGCCATGATTTCCAGCTTTTCTATTTTGAGAAGCCAATACGTCGAATTGTTTGTTTCAAATGAGGTTTATTTTGGGGAAGCTTCACTACAAACATAATATTATCGTTGTCCTTTGACCTTTCTTTTTCGCTTCAAATATGTATATGTTATCCTTGTCCAATACTAGGCTCTTGTCCCTTGTTTGCAGACAGCCAATCTTTCTTGAACACATCAAAGTGGATCGAGGAAGTAAACACGCAAAGAGGTGGAGATGTGCTCATCTTCCTCGTCGGAAATAAAACTGACCTTGTTGACAAGAGGTTTGTATCTCTGAATTAGGCCTGTTTGGACCACTTGAACTGGTTGTTAGTCGGACTAAAGTTTAGGTGACTAAAATTAGACGACTAAAGTTTAATCCTATATTATTTAGATATATGGATTACTGAGAGGGGCTATAACAACTAGTTGACCTGGGCTAAAAATTAGTCCACCGTTTTGTCCGCCGGTTTGGATGGTCTAAGACTAAACTTTAGTTCAGGGCGTCATGTCCTTTCTTTATATAATTTAATAATTATAACATCAGTTCCGTGTTCCATCCCCGACGCCCCATCTTCTACTCAGTACAAAATCTAAAGAATTACTCTTGCGATATAGTTTTTCAATAAAGTGGCCAACTATCCTGATTTTTGTTCCCTGGATATGATGTCACCAGGAAAGTGTCCACTGGCGAAGGAGAAGCCAAGGCACAGGAGCATGGTGCCATGTTCATAGAGACCAGTGCAAAAGCTGGGTTCAACGTCAAGGTCCTGACTCTTTATTAATGTTTCCCCCCTTCACTTTCACAAGCAAAAGCTCTCTATTGATATCCATGGCTGATCAAACATCTGAAAAGTGAAAACTTGAGTCCTGCAGCCTCTGTTCCGCAAGATCGCTGGATCCCTTCCAGGACTGGACGCGCTCTCGTCAGCAAAACGTGAAGACATGGTCGACATAAACCTCAGACCTGCCAGCGGCTCGTCAGCGTCAGGCGCAGCCGCGCAGCTGGAGCAGAAATCAGGTGGTTGCTCCTGTTGAGACTTCGACAGATTTTTTTTGAGACTGCAACATTGAGTTAGTAATTTCAGAGAGATGAAGAGTGGGTTTTGTCCAGACGTCCAGTAGACCAGTAGTGATATACTGATATCCATAGGGAGAGGCCGATTTCTGTGTACAGATATGTTTATCAAGCTATCATATACTAGTACATAACTGTTTTGAAACCCAAGGGACAAAATCTGTGGAGGTAACGGCAGCTCACTTTTTTCTTTCGTTTTTGAAACATTAGTAGGAGCTCTGAGCCTCTGACATCATATAAGAAGAAGAGCGAGCCAGAGTATTACAAAGTCTTATATAATACATAAATGACCAATACACAAACACTGCAAAGAAAAGGTGGAAGCTCCGTTAGTAAACTTCAGGACGTTTACAAGCTGAATCAAATTATTTTTTTGAAGCTGAGTAATGCCGAACTGTTGGACCTTAGCGCCAGTTGCGCGAGCTCGTGTGCAGCACAGTTTCTCTCTTCTCGTGTGGACTATCTTCCACTCAGACATCAGACTCGCCACCACTCTCACTTCCGTCGCTATTAGGCATAGCGGCCCTCGATCCCTTGCCAAATTCTTCAGCATAGCCTAGATCGAGCTGCAGTCGGTTTCAACACCACCGGGATCTCAGGATTTTCAGTAGCATATCGGAGTCCTTCCCTGACCGACAGCGCCTCGACTTCTGCAGGGTCCCTGGCTCCCGGTACAGCATGCCAAGCAGCCAGACACACTGCCGCATTGTGACGACCTGCGAAAAGCACCATCAACATTTACCTTTCGCCATCCTGCCTCCGGCCGTTGCCAGGGGCACGGTTGTCTCCCTCTTTTGGCCTGCCGTCCAGCATACAGGGAGCTACGGTTGCTTGCCAAACGGACCAGCCATGTCTCTATTTTGCCTGATATTACACAGTTCTGTCCAATAGCTTCTCAGGAAACGAACTGAACCCTCAATGGAAAGACCGCGTGCTTCATGTGTGATGTCGTTCCGCACCTGCCAGGAACGCCATAACCATAAGATCATCAGGCACCTTTCTCTCATATCCCTTTCAGTCTTCAACAGAAAATCCAGAAAATTGAATTGGTCCAGATTGAGGAACTGTTTTTCGTCCGGCAATGCCCAGTGCTCTCTCATTGCCATACGCAGCTGACATGCATGACGGCGTCCCACTAGTGCATGATTTAGCGATTCCGTCTCCATGCCACATATTTCGCAGGTGTCCCTTTGAACTATATTGCGCCGAAATTTGTTCTGTTGCGTTGCTAAACCATTGTTCGCTATTTTCCAAACGAAGATTAGGATCTCATGGGGAAGCGGGATCCTCCAGAATTCTTTCCAAACTGGCCGACCATCAGCATTTTCAGAAGTCGATTGGCCACCACCCTGCTCCTCCGTTAAGCGCTTCCGAGCCATCCAGTATGCACTTTTTACAGAGTAGAGACCATTCTTTTCATAGTGCCATGCCAAAATATCATCAGCCTGTTCACTTGGTAATCTGATTTTCTTTATTTTCTGGGTATCCACTGGCCAAAAAAATCTATCCAGCAGGAAACCTGTCAATTTCAGCACACGATGTTTACAACTCTCTTTGTTTTGTTTTTGGCAAATGCTCTGTTCCAGCCATTCAATTTCACAGCAGAAAATTTTCTTTTCCATTCCAACATCGACATTCCATTCCCCATTCCGTCATCAACATTCCGTTTCACAGCAGCAAAGCTAATCGCTGATGGGAAAAAAATATTCATCAAAGTGGATGTCACTCATCACCAGGAAACCTGACAATTTCAGCACACGATGTTTACAACTCTCAATGAAACATTGATCTCGTTCCTCAAAACACACAGTTATGTACAAAAGGCTAAAAGCAAACAAGTATAACACTTGTCCAACAGTATTTGTTTTTTGAATGACCCTTGTCCAACAGCAACAATTCATAGAATCCAAAGTGGAAAGCAATACAGCAGATACAAAACAGACCCAAGGGGGGAAAGCACACGGGTTCCTTTTACAACTCTACAATCTACACTACAGCACACCATCAGGACAGGCGTGCGGCAAAAAAAATTACACCACGGAAGACACGACGGGCGGTATCCTTTTTTACAACCTGAGTACCTGACGATAACTTAAACCGTTGTTCCTGCAACAAAAACCTGCCTTTCTGAACTGACAGGGCTCGTGTAGGGCGGCGTGGAGGAGTACATTATGGGTGACAAACTAGTGAACATAAATTGACAACAATCAAATACAGGCCAGCGACCTTCCTCCTGGTACCAAACGTATACAGATGGTACAACTTTCACCTCCTGGACAGGGCCCTGCAGATCCTCTTACAACAGGGGCTTGTCCGGATGGCATCCTCATGAGGGCGGATCGCTTCAACAAGGGCATTGTGCAGATGGCCCTGCCACGGAGACAAAAATAATGAGCATGACAAATGCAATGTTGCGCATACCGAATGGTGTACTAAGATGATATTGCATACTAACCTTGGTGTGGAGAAGGGCAGTGTAAATGACATAGTTGGCATAAGGGTCTTGCAGCAGTTGCTCAAAGTGAGACCCGCTGAGCAAGAGCAATTCATGTACTATGACAGCTTTGGCATCGTCCGGGAAAAACTTTAGGCATCTCTCCACCACATTGCTGCTCACCTTCTGCTTTGAGAGATAAATATACTTTCCTTCAAACTGAGATGCCAAGTGTGCATTTGCAGAAGGAATTTTCAGTTCCAAAACATATTGGACCACATAGTTCCTGGGACAAGGGAAATGGGAAATCAATCTTAGTGTGGGATGAGTTGATACAGTTCTGAGTTTTGCCATCTATCTGGTTCAAAATAAATTCCTAAAATACCGTAGATAAATGAAATCAATTAAGACTTGTTTCAATCGAGAGGGTTAGGATTAAGGATGCAAGTGTACCCAATGGTGTTTTGTGGGACAACTAGCCCTTCTCCTCCTAAATTAATTAGGAAGCATGACATTTTAGTTCATTTTGCAAGTTTTGGGTTGACCTAATGACCCAAAATATGTGGGACTTGCATCCCCAGATAGGATGAACCCCCCCATGGAGTGACAATTAATAGAATGAATAGAATTCCTTGTCAAACCAAGAGAATTGGGCAAATCCCTGCCTATTCAAACAACAGTTATGGAAATCCATTTGCCATAGGCCATGAGAAATATAGTTACTTTCAGCACAGTTTGGGCTCCCTTTATTTCTGGAAAATATAGGTAGAAACCACTTAGTTTATCTAGTAAGCGACTTGGCACAGAGTTCATAACACTATCCACACATTTTAAGTTTCATGGACCCTGTTATGATAATATGTTATCTTCTGAAAAAAAAACTACACATGATCACTGAGAAAGCTCATGAAACATACATAGATTTGAACTGAGATACATATATAAAGGTTTATATAAACAAGGGAGAACAAACATTTGCTACACTCAAATTAAGTCACTGGTGAAAAGTTATTTCCAACAAAGTTCAGCCTTGTACAAATATAAGATATATAAGAGATGATCATCAGTATTGAAAACTAAGAAAGCAGTGAAATAAGAAGGTACACAGACTTTGTGTACAATCAACCAGACAGATATCTAATGTAGTGGAAAAACAACCACAAAGCAATGGTGTTTTTTTTTGCAACAGAATATAATATAAGCAACCAAGAGTTTACCCAAATGGATCTTGAGCAAGCTCAAAGCCACGAGCACATATTTCCACAATTAGATTGGCCTGGTATACACCACGTGCATTAGATATGCAACGCTGTAGAACACAGCATCCATGGCGATGTACCGCCATGTTAAAACAGTTGGCTGCAGCGCCCTCAAATATGAACTGTTTAAACAGAGTAAATATAAATATGTCTGCAGATACTCTAGTAAAGTAAGATCAATGCATACTTAGCATATGTATGTTTGCAGATACTCTGGTAAAGTAAGATCAACGCATACTTAGCATATGTTTGCTAGCAGAAGAATTTCATGACACCACATTGATCTCGAGAAAGATAATTATAATAATATGAGAATCTGAGTACACAGTAACGAACTTGTTATTACTTATTTTCACTTCATAATTTGAAGTGGTGAAAATTAGGAACACAATTGTATCTGCCCCAAAGAATTTCTCTATCATTAGTGCGTATAAAAACCATGTGTAGGCAGAAAATATACCTTCCCATGCAGAAGACATATGCCAAAGGCAATATTGAAGGGGAAAAACACAAGATTACATAGTCAAATCCAAGTTCAGGACAAGTGAGGAAAACCCTTAAGGTTGATCATAAGACATCACCACCATCAAAACATGATATGCATAGGTAAATGGTCATTAACCACTTAAATAGCATAGCCATAGTTTAGTTATTGGTTAATGAACTTAGTTGAATCTAGTGTATTATGTCATTTCCAGGTCCCAACTTTCTAAATGTCTAAATTTCTGAATATAACTTTGGATTCTGGTGGATCCAGACCTCATAAATTAATTAATGCACAGCATTAAGAGTTATTTAAATCATACTGTTTGCAAATGCAAGCAACGTCTCTGTACAATATGTGACAGAGTAAACTAGAGTAGTTCATACACAAAGTCTTGGATATTGTCTGTCTCTGAAAAAAACTGCTAAAGGTTCAAGAATAGCAAATTTACGTAGAGATGACAAGGCTTAATGTTTGTTAGTTTGCAAGCATATATACTTTTAAAGAAACTACTTCATGCAAGAAAAAACATGTCTGATTATGATTACAGATGCATATGAACATAAGTTGCTAGCCGAAACTAGAAATGCTCAATTCTACTCCTACAACCAGTAAATTCCATGTGTTAGCATCAGTTCTCTAACTTATGAGTCAGTTATTCAAAGAATCAAAATCAATAACATGATTAAAAAAAATGCAACAACCACTTATTACTCGAAGACAGAATTTATTTACAAATAGAAGAAACAAGTTACAAACTAGTAGGAATCATTATGTACCTTGTTATCCTCAGCTCCAAAGTTTGTCAGACATTTCTGTATTACATGATTACCATTGGGGTCATTGACAAGCAGCATGAAGTTTGGCTGTAGGGCTGAAATGATGAGCATAATCTGATCTCTGCTCCTAACAGTCTCTATCAATCTCTGTACTACCCTGGTCCTGGAACAAATCAATACAATAGAATCATCAGCATCATTGCATGCCCCCACTAAACAAAAGGGATCATATTGCAATGTTAGCATCACAGCACACTTGGTCTGATGCCAGTGTACTTTATTATACTGACTCAAAGCACAGCATTCTAAAATCAACAAATACCATAATTGGTTGCCAAGTACAAATGCTTGTAGTGTCAGACAAGAATCATAATGCAAATTTCTGATTAATTTTCAGAAGAAAAGATAATTACCCATGTGTGTTTAGAGAGATGGCAATCAGCTGCTTCACAGGGTCCTGCGTCAGCACTAAGACGATCCTCAGCCTTTGCCCTTCATCACACACTTCCAGCATCTTCTGTACAAGATAGTTGCCAAAACTGCTGATCATAAGGTCTGCAATGTGGTTAATGATTCCTTCAAAGATCGCATCGACATGATGTTTCCCTTCCAAAAACTTGTCCTGCAAATACCGGCACCCATTTTGGTCCTTGGCCATGTGGTAGATGGATCCTTCCTTGACACGAACCACATTGTCAAACCTCAAAGTCCTAGAACTCCCAAGCTCCAGTGCCCTGCTATTGACACGCTGGAATCTCCTCTCCCTCTCACGTTCCAGGAAGTTCATGTTCTTCCCATCAAACATCAGACTGTTGTCACAATGGAATGCCTCAAACTGATTTCTGCCTCTCGCAAACCCGTTGTCTGCCACAGAGACACCACCATATGCATAGTGTCGCTTTGGTCCACCACGGAAGTCAAGGGCAGCCGGACTCGAGCTGAAAAACTCTGCACCAACCTCACTGGGACTGTTGTCACAACCGAATGCATCAAACTGATTTCTGCCTCTCGAAAACCCGTTGGCTGCCACAGGGACACCACCATATGCATAGTGTCGTTTGAGGGCAACCGGACTCGAGCTGGAAAACTCTGCACCAGCCTGACTGGAAAGCAGGTAGGACTCGGCGAAATCAGGCTGCACCAAACCTTGGCCCCAACCAATGCCAGTGCCATGCCCTACCCTATTGTACATGAAGCCACCAATGCTGGTGTCCAAGGCTCTGGGGAAACCACCAAAGTCATCCAGGCCAACGTCCGACACGAAGCGATGCGGCCGTGCTGCGACGTACCCGACAGGTTTGGCCTGATCAAGGAACACGTGTTCATGGCGGACGGAAGAACCTGACGCCGCGAAGTTGTACCCATCGTACGCGCCGTGCGCTGCGGGGACCTCAGTCGGGGCCGTGTGAATGACAGGCGGCGGGCCCTGGCGCTGGAGCGCGGTCTGCGCGTCGCCGATGCGCAGACCGCGGAGCTGGTTCGCGACCAGCTGCTGCTCCTGGTCGTCCACCCCACCCCCAGCGCCAGCGGCGGCGGCACTGGGCTACCGACGAACGGTCCTGAGGCCGGTGACGGCGCGGGAAGCCAACGCCCCTGCATCGCCGCCGTGGAGTGGAGCACCATTGTCGCGACGGTTCAGGACCATGTCGTAGTAGGCGTCCTTGCCGTGGCGCTGCGCATCGTACCCGTCGGCATCCGTGGGGCAGTGTACCCGTCGGCACCCGATGCGCATTGGTGAAGTGTAGCCGTCGGAACCCGAGGCGCCATGCACGCCGTTGCCGTTGCCGTCGCCGATGACGCCCACCCCGCGCTGCCGCCCCTGCGGGGACGTGACGTGGGGGATCTCGCTGAGAAGCAAGTCTATCTCTTTGTCCTCCGTCCTCTCCACCGCCGCCGCCGCCTTCGTGGCCCTCATCTCAATACCAATAAACAGTACTCCGGAACACACACGCAACCCAGAAACGATGGGAAATCAAACCCCCCCGAGGGATTGAGAAAGATCGGGGAGATCGGCGGGACTGGGGACGGAATCGCGGAGACCCGGAGCGGGGTGATGGGACGGCGAATCCGGGGATCAGATGTGGGGCGGATCGGGATTGGGGAGCAGGGGTTAGCAGTAGTGGAGGGAGGCGGAAGGGAGGGAGGTGGAGAGGCCGGTGAGGCATGCAAAAGGGGAGAACCTACCGGAGGACGGCTGATGGGGTGCGGGGTTTTATAGCCAACGACTGGGCTTCAGGGCTGGGCTCGGCGGCTTTGCACTCGCATGGGTGGAGGGAGCAGTACACACGCTGACACGCAGCAGTCCTGTGCAGTGCAGACTTTTCAGGGAATGGGAGGGATAAATAAATCTTGGAAAGACCCAAAGAGGTTGTTAACATATAGTGTTTGTTTTTATCACGCTATATAAAGGTAGAAGTCTAAAAATAGTCCCCTGATATTTTGTGAATCAGTAAAAAAAAAAGTGCTAGTATGTCATGTTCGCCGTATTCAAATCTGGACAGAGGTTGTTACAGTACATTACTTTGTTTGTTCTCATCATGCGTAAAAGTAGTATACTAACGTCATGTGGTATTTTGTGAATCAGCAGAAAATACTCAACGTGTTGAAATATGGAGGGAGGTTGTTAACAACTTCAATGTTGTTCTATTTTTTTTTTCATCATGCATAAAAGTGGAACTAAAACGTCTGGCGACATATTTTGTGAATCGGCAAAAAATACTATGTTGGACCATATTCATAGTATGCCATGTTCAACATGTTGAATTCAATCAACCAATAATAGGAAACTTCATAATTTTATAAAATTTAAAATTATCATGAAAAAATATACGACAATTTATATTACATCATGAATTGGCCATTGGTGTTTTATTCTGGATGGCCTCTGAGCCTGGTAGAGCAAGAAATTTGGAAATTCATTGTCCATGAGCCGCATTTCTTGCTTCAGTTTTGGGTCCATTTTAACTTGCCTTGATATGTTCGTTGGTTTTTTTATATGCTCACACTAGCTATATTGAGTGTAACTTTAGCAGCAGACCTCAAATCACAAACTTTACTTTTGGTTTTAGGACTTCTCTACTTTTGATGGCCTAGGTTTTGTTTATATCCACTCTAGCAGGAGTTCTCAAATACATTACAGTAGACACAGCATACGAGACCCACTCGTCATTTCTGTTATTACTCGCTAGGGTGGAGGAGCCTTATCAATGAAGGAGGATGGCGAGGGGTCTACAGGGAAGGGGAGCCAACAAGGGAGGAGGCCAGACAAAGGCACATCATTAGCGAAGTCGCAGAGGGAGGAAGAAGGCAATAGAGGTGGATCTACCATCGGGGGTTCGTTGGGAAGGGCTAGCCGCCAAGGAGGCCCCCTAGTGGCGGCGCGCCTAGAGTTGCATGGAGCGTCAGTCAGGCGGGAGGGGCTACGTGCCAGGTAGCCGGAGCGTCAGAGATGGAGAGGGGGTGCAGTGCCCGCACTTCCTCCCGGGAGAAGGCGCTGGGCCAGGAGCCCACGAGACTAGACCGATCGTGGTGGCAGCGACTGATCTAGCAACAATGACGATCAAGAAACAAGACGGAGCGAGCGCTTGGGCAAAGCATGGTTCCAAACAGGCGCGGAAAGACGGTCAAAACAAAAAAGTGTGTCCTACTGGGTGACATTGATGAAGACGCGAGATGAGAATTCGAGGATCTCTTGCTGTTGGGGGTTTGAGTAGGGTCCTTGCTCCTGTGTTTTTTATGTGAACCTCATCTTTTGAATTTAAGGGCCTATTTGAAGGACCTGCTGCAGTTGCTCCAGACGTCTATATATCATAATCTTTTTAGAAAGTCCAGAAGTTCTATGCGGTTTCTTCTACCACAACTTAAAAAAAATATATAAAACAATATAAATAAACTGTTTTGTTTAGACTCCCTCGCTAAATCAAAATTAAACAATGAGTGTTCTTTGAATATGCTTTTCCTTGTTTACCCAGAAAGATTATTATAAACATCGTTCATCTTTGAGACAAATCACTCAAGTTCTTCCACGCGTCCAATCGGCGTATACCTTGCTGAAAGTATGAAAAGTTGACTACATGTATTCCATCACTAGCCAAAATAATTAATCTATCCCTAATAATAAAGAGGTAAAATTTCTTGCACAAAATCTTTCGTCCAACTAAGACATCGACTCGGTTACAGTTTACGTTTTTCCATGTTCATGTACGAGTCCTTTTTCTTTTCATGGATTTTTTTCCAAGGGCCTGAGATGAAAACGGATCAAGTTCAGCCGCCAAAGATTTTTCCAAATCGAATCCACCAAAGACAAGTCTCTCGATTCGGCACATCGACATATTGATGATGGGGACGCGAGTTGGGATGACGTTCCGAAGCACACCGGATCATCGAGAGGATGCAAAATGCAGACGGCAATCGCGACGTAGTGGCGCTGCAGAGATTCGCGGCGCGGCATTGGGCGCTGTCGACGAAATATGGTCGGCAGTCCACCGAGGGGGGTGCCCGTGGTGGTAGATTATCGGTAGACGGTGCGTGTAATCAGGAACCAGATGGTGACACAAGGCGCAGAGACAACGATTTAGACAGGTTCGGGCCGTCTGGTCGACGTAATACCCTACGTCCTGTGTCTTTGGTGTATTGTATTGAGATGTATACCAATTAACCTCCTTGGGTCTGTCCTCTAAGGAACCCTTGCCCCTCCTTATATACTCCGAAGGGACAAGGTTACAAGTAAAGTATCCTATTTGGTACTATTACAATATCTAGTACAACTTGTAATCTTGATGTGCACGCCTTAATCTTACGGGCCGGGCCACCTCGGATGGTGCGGCCCATGTACCATCTTGTGGTACCCGGGGGTATATCCCCCACAGCTAGTCCCCGAGCGCCATGTATTCTGATGCGACACGCCGTTTCAACCTTCTCCGAATAGTGAGGCTTGAGTTCTTGACATCTCCGACCACCGTTGTCGCCGGAGAAGTAGGTTGTTCGAAGAATGTATGGTGCTCTTAAGAAGAAAGAAAAAGATTTCCGTCCTGTGAAGTGTGCCCACTTGTATTTCTGAAAAGAAATGTAAGTGCGTCTTGAAGCGTAGCATCTTTGATCATCAGATCGAGCACATTCACCGCAAGGTGAAGTGTGCCCACTTAGTCCCCGATCCTGGTAGTAGGTGACGTAGGCACGTGGTGCCAGGGTCTAAAAAGAATTCTCAGTTAAGTTGAGAATCCAATCGCGTCAGACAGCGTCACGAGATGCACCGGCAGTGCATCGCATCAATGTAGTCCCCGAGCTTCTTTGGAAGGCGAGGTATGAGCCTTGTAGCAAGGTCTAAGTGAGAAAAAAATATCCCAACTGTATGCGAGTCGCCAGTCGCATGTAGTCGAGACGCAAAGTCCCCGAGTCGTGGTCGGAGAGTGGTCGAGGCAGTCCCCGAGCACAGGTCGAGGAGCGAGCGACGAAGTCCCCGAGCCGTGGTCGGAGAGTGATCGAGGCAGTCCCTGAGCACAGGTCGAGGAGCGAGCGACGAAGTCCCCGAGCCGTGGTCGGAGAGTGATCGAGCCAGTCCCCGAGCACAGGTCGAGGAGCGAGCGACGAAGTCTCCGAGCTGTGGTCGGAGAGTGATCGAGGCAGTCCCCGAGCGTAGGTCGGGGAGCGAGCGACGAAGTCCCCGAGCATAGCAAGAAATTCCTGCAATATAAATATGTAGAATGGTAGTACATGATGGTGTACGAAATATATTGACCTCTCTATAGGAGGTGAAGTAAACACTTGGTGTTCGGTTGGCGATGAATTATACTTGGTGTAATATTCGAAAAATAACACTAGCTGTTTTTAGCCCTTTTGTTATGTAGTGGTGTAGCGCGATGTATTAACTGTCTCTGAAGAATCGCGCCACACGGGGTGACCAACATCTCGTGAGCCTTGAGAGGTAATGGAACGCCGCCGTGCAGAGTGCCAGTGTTACCAGGAGCGATCGCCGACTACCCGTAGCGCAGAGGGCGGACTCTCATGCACGCGTGGGGTGGAGCCGGAGACAGTGCCGGCTCTGGGATTCTCAAGCAGGAAGGAAAACGTATCGGCGAACCATTGTAAAAACTTATACATGTTTTGAATTGTATGTATGAAGAAAATTCGACGCGGAGCGCACCCTAAGGGTGGTCGGCGGAGGTGTACGATGATCGAAGAAATTTTCAATTAAAAATAATACTTAGCTTTATTGACGGCCGGTGGATGTAGTCGACGTGTTGCGATGTTCGAGAGATGGCTTGACGTGTCGTTGGCGATGAAGTTGTCCGGTCCTCGAGCTTTTCGACCTGTCGTCATGACTATGGTCGCGATTGTCGTAGCGCCGTTCTTCGCAGCGATCATCATTGCGACGTAGTCTTGTGGTCGAGGTGGTCGAAGCTCGGCGGAGCTGCTCGGGACGTGGTCGGAGCTCGGCGGAGCTGCTCGGGACGTGGTCGACGTGGTCGCGGTCGACGTGGTCGGAGCTCGGCGGAGCTGCTTGGGACGTGGTCGACGTAGTCTGTGGTCGGAGTTGCTCGGGACGTGGTCGACGTGGTCCGTGGTCGATGTGGTCGGAGATTGGCGGTGTCGGTCCGCGTACGAAGACGTGCCGTCGATCTGCTTCGTTAACACGTGCAGCCTTCCTTCCCCATACGTGGATGCATGTGTACAGGCAAGTCTTGGTAGCTTGCATGGCGGTGTATATCGGACACGTTGCTTGCGTAAATCATGCATGCCTTCCTCTTGCTAGCTTGCTGTAGTACGTAGGTGCACAATCGCACACTACGTGCCGGCGCGCTTAGTACCCACCCAAAGACATACACGAATCCTCAAAGACGCGCACGAAATTGATTCGGAGATTGATTCGACGCCGAGAGCCGGCGGGCATCGTGTCGATCCTAGATCCATGGGGTCCCATGGTGGCGTTATTCCTCGTTGCTGGAGGATGTCGCCGTGGGACGTCAAGTCCTTGCCGGCCGGTGTGTGCAGCCACCAAGATCCGTGCCGTGGAGCCGTGGTGCTTTAACAGATCCGTTGCTTGACTTCACGTATCAAAACTTGTCGCCACGAATCCGCCACAAGTTGCGCCAGAAGCGCCGTGTCGTCGCAGATGATGTTGATGTTGATTTTGAGATCCCATCTGGTTCGCCATGGATCCGCACGCACAACCCCTACCTGGCGCGCCACTGTCGACGAAATATGGTCGGCAGTCCACCGAGGGGGTGCCCGTGGTGGTAGATTATCGGTGAGACGGTGCGTGTAATCGGGAACAGATGGTGACACAAAGCGCGAGACAACGATTTAGACGAGTTCGGGCCGTCTGGTCGACGTAATACCCTACGTCCCCGTGTCTTTGGTGTATTGTATTGAGATGTATACCAATTAACCTCCTTGGGTCTGTCCTTCTCTAGGAACCCTTGCCCTCCTTATATATATACTCGGGGACAAGGTTACAAGTAAAGTATCCTATTTGGTACTATTACAATATCTAGTACAACTTGTAATCTTGATGTGCACGCCTTAATCTTACGGGCCGGGCCACCTCGGATGGTGCGGCCCATGTACCATCTTGTGGTACCCGGGGGTATATCCCCCACAGGCGCAGGTTCCTCTGAAGCTTGGCAGCTGCGCGGCACTAGGTCTACTGCATGCCGTGGTCTTGGGGCAGTCTGCATGTGATCTTGGTCAAGGGGGCGGTGGCGGCGACATTGGAACCGAGACGTTAGCGGTGGAGCAAAGGTAATGTCTTTGGGGCAGTCTTGGCGCTACCGCTGGTTTCTCTGCATTCGACAACTCTATGATCTATGCGTCGGATGAATGAGTAGAGTTGATGGGAGAGGAGAGAAACGGGCCTGCAGTTGACAAACAAATGGGCCTGGAGTCCGATAAGCCATGTCCTAATAATGAGACAGTCAATGCAAATGGACCTGCAACCCAGACGCTACAATGCATTCGTATTTTCTTATAAATCTATAAACGATTAGCGTTAGTATTCTCCGTGCAATCTTTTTTTAGGAATCCGTGAAATCTAAAATTATAGTATCAATAAATATTTATGTAAATAAATATATCGGAATCAAGTTCTCGTTTTGTAGCTACGTTCCACGTATATCGTCCAAATTATCTAGGGATCATGTTCCACTCTTCGAATGAATCATCCCGAAGAGATATACCCTCACGAACCAGAAACTTAAAATTTTCGATCCACGTACCCATTTCTCGTACCCTTCGTATCAGGAACTTTTTGACACTGGTACGAACCAAACCAAAATAAATTGAAAGCAGGAACAAGTTCGATCCGCTGTCCCTAGACTTGTAACGTATAAATTAAGTGAACAAATTGTAAAATTATATTTACACAAATAAATGTTTTTTCCTTTTTTAACACAACTCTCACGTACAAGCATTTATTTCTTTACCGTTGTAACGCACGGACATATTTGTTAGTAAATAATATAAATCTTTAGGACGTCTGCAACAATTAGCAGATATTATATCTTATTCTATGTGGAAAAGAGAGAGAAACTAGGTAGCACATCGGTAAGAGCATCTCCAACGTAGTGGAAAATTTGAGTGGTATAAAAACTATTGTTTATGAAAATAGCTATATATAAGCCTTAGATAAAAGTAGCTTTTTTGTTGAAACCCATCAGAAGTAGTCTATATATTCTTCGAAGGCCCTGTGTGGTAGGGCTCTGGCTTCGACTTCTTGCGGCGCCATATTTGGAGCTTTTTTTAATAGAGGAGTTGGGGCTGACTTTTCGACTCCTCACAAACCTAATAAAAATCTCCATCTCTTCTCTTTTCTTCTATATATCTATTCTATTATTACATCTAAAAAGACTATAAAGTCATCATCTACCTAGTGATACCAAGGAGTTGTTCGGCTGATAGTTTCTGTGGCTGATGTTGTGAGAGAAAAACACTGTATCATAGCTGATAAACCATATATCTAGTTATTATAAAATTATCATCAGAGTTGTTTTTTTAATATTTTTAAAAATAACTTTAGCACTATAAGAGAAGCTGTTTCATATGTGGAGCCGAAGCCAAAGCTCTTTAGAAGAAGCCGGAGCCCAACGACTCGGTTGCGCCCTTCCTGCCTAATTCCATTAGTGTGTCAGTACATCATCATGTGCTATACGTGAAACTTTGCGAGGCAAGGCAAGTAAACTCGGCGACTGCAGTCCATGATGCTCGAATCGAGCGCAAAGGATCCGCAGCCAAGGTAGGCCGTCCCCGCGTCCGGCGGGAGCGCCGTCGCATGCAACCGCGCCGGCGGCAGGCGAAACCGATGAACCGCCCTGGGGGGTTGGTGGCGTAGGCCTTTGACCGTGTCGTGGCCACCCAATAATAGGCGTGTCGTTAAAACCGTGTCCGCGCGCACGGCCGCTCCCGCTGCTTTCCCTCCAAATCGCCCGCGCGGGCCCCGGCACCCCTGATGCGACGCCCTCCGCCCTCCGCCAGTTCCCTCCTCGCCCATCCCCGCCTCCGCCACCACCCGTCCATCCTCCACACATGGCGGAGAGGGCCCTCCGGCCCGCGGTGCCGGCGTCGCCCGAGCCGGCCTCCTCCTCCGCGGTCTCCACCGCGTTCGGCTCGCCGCTCGAGCCCGTCGCCGCGACGGCGGCGTCGGCGGCGGCGACGCCCACGCACGACACGTACGTGGTGCAGGTGCAGAAGGACCAGATATACCGCGTCCCGCCCCCCGAGAACGCCTATCTCGCCGAGCGCTACCGGAACGAGCGCGGCGGCGGGGGCAACAAGAAGCGCGGGACTAGCAGCGAGGGGTCGGCCGCGTGCTCTCCGTGCGTCCTGCGCACGCTCGGGGCGCTGCTGGCGGCCGCCGCGCTGGTGAGCGCCGCCGTCCTCATCTCCCTCGTCGTGCTGCGGCCGGGCGTCCCGGGCTTCTCGGTCGACAGGATCACGGTGATCAACTCGACGCGGCAGCAGCGCGTGGACTACGACGTCTTCCTCACGGCGGTGAACCCCAACAAGATGACGGCGCTGTGGTACAGGAGCGGCAAGGCGAGGCTGACGCACCACGGGACGACCCTCGCCAAGGGCGACGTCGGGCAGCCCGCGGACGGCGGCGAGGACGCCACCGACTTCAGCGTGCTGCTGCAGGGGGTGAAGCACAACGGCCGCTTGCCCAAGGCGGTGGAGAAGGGGTTCAGCGGGTCCAAGGACCACCTCGCGCTCCAGCTGACCGTGGAGGTCACCGTGCAGGTGCACGTCGGCGCGCTCGGGTTCGGGCAGAGGAGGCTGGCCGTGGACTGCGGGATCACCGCCGCCGGGCTGGGCAAGGACGTGCACATTGCGTCGCAGAATTGCAAGAGCAGCTTCCGGAACTGACGACGCGCGCGCGCGCCCCCATCGAGGGGCGCCTGTGGTCTGGAACTCTGGATCGTGGGAGATGGAAATTGACCCCGCGCGCGGTCATGTATGGCGGCGTGGAATTGAAGCGAATGGGGGACGGAAGATCGTGCTCGCGCGCCTTATGTAAAATGTTGTGAAATTCTTGAGACTTTGATGTAAATTGTCACGAACTGAACCATGGCGTCGAAGGCCGCCGGATCACAGCAACACGTACTATATGTTTTGCCGGCGCAATGCTGGTCTGCTCACTGCTGGATATGACATCTTCATCACGAACGTTGGTTGACAACCAGCAACCACGGCTGCTGCGTCGGCCGTCAGAGTGTTTGACGTCCGACGGGAGCAACGGCAGCACTGTTCACGTTGCACAGATGAATATGAGACATCACGCAATCATGCTCGTGGATCCGAGTGGCGACCCGGTCCAGGGAGCTCACCGGACATCGGGACGCCATCGTCCCGGACTCCCGGCCCATCCATGGCTGGCGTGCTTCTCATCCGTGCTGGTCGCCGGTCGCGACTCGCGCGTGTTGCCCGATGGCTGGCGACGGCAAGAACATAGCAGCTTCTAGGCCCGGCCCTGGGAGCATTTTAGCCCAACACAAATACGCTAGATGAATCGACGTCCGTATCCGTGTCCCTGTGGCCACGCGACTCGTCTCCTCCGACTTCTCGGCTTCCTCACGAGTCACGCCAGACGCCGCCGCTGCCACGCAGCGAGTCGCCGGCCGGCGGCCGGGCACGTCTGCAGATTGTAGTCTGCACGCATGATGATCCAGGCAGCCAGGCTTCCAGCAGGCAGGCGGCAGCAACCAGCCAACCAGGTACCTACGAATCTCTGTCCTAATCCTATGATCCCTAATCAAGTAATTAATTAATGGCCGACGCTAGAGTATTCAAATATTCAAGAAAGTAACAATTGCTTAATCAAGTAATCTCTGCTAGGCACTTGACTCCCTAAGGTAGTGTATAATTGTTTGATCTTTGTGATTTTTTTGTCTAGCGTACTGATAAATTTCTTAAGGTTTATTGTTATCCTAGTACTTTGATTGCTTATCACATCTTGTTTACTGTGTCAGTGACTATGATATCAGCTAAAAGAAGCTTCTCAAAATTAAAATGACTGAAGAACTATTTGAGATCCACAATGTCACGAGAGAGGAATCATAGAAGAAAATTTTAGGGTAATTTAATATGTATACAAATTATTTCATATGAATATTGTTTTTGTACTCAGTTAAATGATTATTAGTAATATTTCGTATATGTGTGTATATACTAGCAATGAGTAGTACTAGTAGTATTTTTATGTTTATATAAAAAGGCCTAAAATTTTTGTTTCGTTCAAGGTCCATAGAAACTCAGGACCAGCCCTGGCTTCTCTCTCGGCCAGAAAACGCACGATGGTGGCTGCGTAGAGACTTGCACGAAACCATTCTTATTCCAGGCGGGCCATGTGCAATCGACCCTCTTTAGATTCAGCCCATGGGCCTAGTTCTCCCTGAGCCTGAAACGTACGGCTGCATGTCAGGCGGACGAAGCATGTAGATAGCTAACCAGCTGGATACTGATTCGTGATTACAGCCTTACAGGTCACTGAATATTTTGAATAAAAGGCAAGCTAAAAGTTGCAATGTTTCCGTGATTATTTTCCTATTTACACATAGTAGCATGCAGCCTGTTCGTTTCGATAGTATTTTTCTCTCACACCAAACCAGCCAACAGTATTTTCAGCCATGCCTTATAAGTCAATCCAGGCGAAATGAACAGGCCGGTAAACTTGTGTTGGTGCAACGTTCAGCAGATCAGCAAGCAACGCCAAGTTGACGCCAGTGTCGAAACGGATCAGGGATTAAGATACCGGGACCTGTGTACAAATGGGGCAGGTTGCGTCCTACCACACCACCCAGATCCATTCGGTGTAGGGTGCAGACCTTAACAAGACATGGTCACAATTCTCGTTTTGAAACGTCGTTACGAGAGTATTCACGTTTCCATTCTAGGAGCATTTACGTTAGGGCAGTGCTAGCGCTCGGACGTTTGGATAGAAGCAGCGCTGCAATCTGTTTTCGCGCATGCACCTGCACTCCACGCCCCACGCTCGCGCCCTGTTTTTCACGCGCCCATACAGGGCTCACGCTGCCCGGACGTCGCCCGCGCCGCCAGACTGCACTCGAGGACCGTACCGATCGCGCCCCTTCCGCTTTCCACGTGCATCCGATGTGCAACGTCCAATCTATTTTTGAAACATTCAGAAACCACACTGCAACATACGTATGAAGACTGATAAAACACTTGAAACATGCTTTTAAAACATTTAAAAAAACACCTAAAAATGCTTGAAAACCATTGCAAACATACATAACATCTAGATAAAACACTTACAACATATGTGTGAAACATATGCAACATCAAGATAAACACACTTGTAACATATATCTGAAAACACAGATGATATATTGGGAATAAACGCTTGCAACATACGCATACAACCACCACAATATATACAACATCCCGATTTACCTTTGCAACATCCATCTGAAACACTTGCAACAAACCTCTGAAACATATGAAACAATTGAAACGTACGCTTGCAACATACGTTTTTCAGCCTTCTTCATCCATGCGCACAGAGTAGAGCGGGGAACATCCGGTTTCGGCCAGCCGGCGGCCGAGGATGGTGGCACGACCTAGCAACGGCCAACTGCACTAACGCCTACCCTAGGCTCGACCAGCGACGACCCTCTCTCCTAGCTGCCTGGCCACACGCGGCGTCCGAGCGCCTGCGCGGCTGCTGCTGGGTTGGCTCGGCCAGCCAACGACACTGGCAAGTGGCCAGACCCCGGCGGCGGCTACGGGGAGCGGGCAGCGCGATACGGCGATGGAGAACACCGCGAGGCGGAGTCGGGAAATGTCGCAGCGTCCAATTTTTTTAGAAGTGTTGAAGCGTCTAGTTAATTTGTAGAAGGGACCAGGTTTGTTGGCCCGGTCCGCAGGCCCGTCAAGGAGCATCCGGACGGACGGACGTTGTGTTCTCATTCTATGTTCCTGTTCACTTCCGGGAATATGGTTGCAAAGGTATAGCCAAGAGCCAACTAGACCCACAATATTTTCCCGAGTCCGCTGAGCGATGGGCCTTTCTAGTGGACTGGGCTCTCCACGTCATTATGATGGGCCTCCGCCAAAATCCGGAGTCTTTTAGCCTAATTGGTTGAAGGCCAAAATTTTGTTACTAAAACTTGGGTAAGTCAATATTTTGGCAGTTATTTGGTTGGTTACCAAAATTTACTATTACCTCACAATTGGCATGCAAAATCCATGTCAAATTTTTTTGCCCAAGTTTTGGCAAGTTTTTCTTGACAAATCTTGGCATGGCAAATTTTTGTAGCCAACCAAGCCCTTGATTACGTCGGCCGTGGCCCGCCCGCCACACAGGTTGATCCTCTTCGCTTCTTCGCGGCGACAACCAGAATGTCACTCCCGAGTCCCGACGTCCCGCCGGGCTCCAACACAGGCTAGCACAGCTCTCGCCGCCGTTCGCACGCAGGACTTAAAGCCGGCCGAGGCCTTCTTCGTATCCGTCAAGCGCCCCTCGGCAACTTCCTGTTGGTGGCTTGACGGCGCCAATGCAGAAACGGGCCATGGCCGGACGGCTCATCCTTTTCTTTCATCCCTTCTTCAGAGTTCAGATTCTTCTGAAAGAATGGAGCTGAGATTGCTGGGTTGACACTTGTCACGAGATCGCAAAGATGAACCAGGTCAACTATGGCAGTGTGGCGACTGACAGATACTTGAGCGCTGCCGACATGGCTTTGGGCACTGAAATAATACCCCGTGCGCCAGCTCCTCCTGCCGCCGGCCCACTCGCCCAGCCCCGGCCCCGTGATTGTGTTAATAATCAGCATGGCATGCACGCACGCACATGCATGCCTGGTTCAGTGTACCAATCTGCAGGAGCACAGGTTCTCAAAGGTAGGGTTCATGCACCATGAGCATCACTTCACTTTCTTCAGAGGTCCAGAGTTTCAGCTTCCACCCCATCATCAATCTTTCTGCACGCAGCTCGATAATCAACCAACAAGGGCTAGGCCAGCTACTCATAAATCAAACCATCGATTCATCTTTTACTTTTCTTTTAGCCTTACATTACAGTTATACTAAAACAGTTTAGAACGGTTCCCATCGAAATTCGCATAGGATTCCTTCTGACTTTTGGAGTTTGGCAGGTGACAACCGAGCAAGTAGTCAATCAGATCAACATTCTCTGGCTCATACTTCACGCACTTCATCCAGCCACAGACTCCAGCAAAGGCAGCAGCTTGGGCACCAATCTCGCATTGAAAACGCGGTCAACAAAGCAAATGAAACCCAAAACGAAACGGCTTATGGAGAACATCAGCTTGCTTTACACAGGTCAATGCTAGCTTACCAAGCTATACACCGGTATGTCATGATCAAGCCTATATCAGCCTACGCGATTACATACATTATCTCTACGAGGGTAGCCTTTTTCTTGCCAAGTGAATCTTCTTGTCATGCCCAACTCGTGGATTGGATTGTTGGATGGATCTCCCTTACATCCCAACTCTCTTTTTTCAACGGAACAATTCTTTTAGATTTTGAACTAATCCTTCCATTAGCACACAATAACTCTCCTTTTCTAGGTCTCCAACCTTTTCTGTGATAGCAAGACGAAGTCAACCCAAAAGCTACGCGCGCGATGGGCCATCATCACATTGGCAGGTGGCAACATAGTGGGCAACCCTGCGCAATCTCTTTGAGTGCGTCTAATTAATAGCACCGCGTTGACATTGCGCGCCATAGATATTATGGGGTTGACCTGACCTGACAATGCCTGGGCACTACTAGTGCTTGCTTTTCTGCAAGCTCTGCCTATCTACCTCCAGCATCTATGAGAGCATATGCATAAGAAAATACGAATGGTCGATACCACGATGCACTAAAGCATGAAAATG